GTCGCCTTTTTGAGTTGCTGGAGAACCTGGAACTACTGTTAGTGGTAGAAGTTCTGGGGCAACCCAAAGTAATTCTAAAAAAGAAATTAATATAAGTACGAAGGCTTTCACAACCGGTGTTAATTAAACTAAAATTATTTGCCAGAAAGTAAATTCGGAGGGCTTGCCGAAATATGTTCCAGAGCTAGTGGAGTACTGCCTATCATCGACATATTTTAATTGGAAAGGAGAATTCTAATTCTATTCAGGACAGCCATGGGATCACCGCTGTCACATCGTTCCTAGACCACCTAAACTCATAACACTCCATGATCAAATTTACCATGAAAATGGAAGCTGCAAAACAGTTAGGAAGATAGGTGCGCGTATGGAATTGCGAGTGTATTGGAAGAAGGTACACACAAAAAGGTATCTACTAGCTTCATCCCATCGCCATCCACAAAAGAAGAAATCGGTGATCCAAGCCTTGTTACAAGCAGAAAGTATATGCGACAAAACGAATTTAAATCAAGAAGAAAGATTTCTAGAAGATGTACTTACTGCAGAAGAACAGCTACACGATGAGGGATATCCAGCGACTTACCAAAAAACGCAATCAGAGGGAAGACTCGGTAAGTATTGCACCAGCCGGGTTTATCTGCCTACTCAATGTTTCAGGTGTGATGGAGCGGATTGAGAAATGTCTGAAGAATACCGTCGTTCTTCTCGTGGTACAATATGGTACCATCAGCAAAATCCAGAACGCCCTTCCGATAGCTAAAGACAAGCGAACCCCATTAAAGGGAGTGGGAGTGTGTCGGCTATCATGGAGTTGCAGGTAGTATTATGTTGACACAACTGGACTTAACATCGAGTGTCGCATCAATAAGCATGAGAGAGATGTCCGACTGAATAAAATCCAGCAGTCGGCAGTCGACAGTACAGATAAGCACGAAACGACAGACACCGTGCTTAAAGAAAGTGATAAGTTAGAAATCTACTGATGAATTAAAAAGAGAAAACTTTGAAGCACCGAATAAAATGCGAATTAAGTTTGGAAGAAATTCAAGCTAACCCTAATATAGAAAACCAAAAACATATAATAACTAAGGCAATTACAAAGGTTACAAACGATATTCAAAAAGATACAAAAAAAGAAAAACAGAGGTCAAAATTACGAAGATGCAGAAATATTAAACATTATATGCGACTTTCATAAGGAATACGGGAGTAGACATAATGGAGGCAGAAGAGGGGATCAGAGAAGATCAAAACTGAAGGAAGGAAAAATTGGAGGTATAGATCAGATAAGAAATGAAAAAATAAAAGCAGGTGGAAACCATATAATGATAATATTGAAGGAAATTTTTAATAACTGTTTGAAACAAAAAAAGGTACCTGATAGCTGGCTCGTAGCTAAGCTTGCCTTAATATACAAAAAAGGCGATCAACAATTACAGACCAATAAGTTTACTTCCGGTGAGGTATAAAATACCATAATGTCCATAATCACAAGGAGAATAAAGCAACACTTACCATCCTCCAAAGATCAAAGAGGATTTAAGAAGAACTTCTTCACGCTAGACAATATTTTAGTCGTGCAGCAACTGATAAAAAAATTGAATAACTATGACTTCCCAATGATCTTATTATTTGTAGACTTTGAGAAAGCGTTTGACAATGTAAGAACAGAAACAATCTTACAGGTCATACAAACGTCTGGTATGGAAAATCAGTACATTCGTATATTAACTATATATATAAAAACTTAAAACTAAACATCGAAATGAACAATAATAAAAGGACGATAACTCTAGGAAATGGATTGAAGCAAGGTGATGTGACTTCTGCAAAGCTATTCAATGCAGTATTAGAAACAATGTTTGTAGAAGAAGAATGGAAAAACTTGGGAATAAGAATAAATGGGCACTGGTTGAACAGGCTACAGTTTGTTGATGACATAGTACTTATAGGAAAAAACGAAACAGAAGTAAGAAAAATGTTAGAAACAATATCGAGAAGAGGGAAGCAAACTGATCTGGAGATGAATATGAGCAAGACAAAGGCAATGTACGTAAATTGTGAACAAAAAAACAAAATAATTGTTAATGGAAAGGAAATCGACAAAGTAGAGCAATTCGTATATCTCGGACAAAAGATTACAACTAAAAACACAGGAGAAGAAATAACACGGAGAATGACAATGGTATGGCAAATGTTTAACACATACAAAAATATATGGAAATCAAACGTAGAAATGGAGAAAAAGAAAAAATTGTGGGAAATATGTGTCCTCCCTGTCATGATTTATGGATGCGAGACATGGATATTAACAAACAAAATGATTAAAAAGATTAGGGTAACAGCAAGGGCAACGATATATATAGAAGGATGATTTGCATTACGAAGAAAGATAAAAAAACAAAATAATAGATAAGGGAAAAGTCAAACATTGAGGATATTGGAAAAATAGTATTGGACCGAAAATGGAATTGGGCGGATCATATTATAAGAGTAAGAGATGGACCAAGAAAATCTTAGAATGGCACCCAATGGACAAAAAGAGAAAAACAGGAAGACCAACTGCCAGCTGGAAAGATGAGTTTAAGAGGAGTAGTGGAGGAGTAACATGGCACAGGGCAGCTTGGGACCGAAGAGAATGAAGGAGATATACAAGGAAGTATGGCTTTACACGGACTAAATATCACGAGCATACGAACTCAGTCCCATTATGGGAATGCCATGGTTAACACCGAAATAGTCACCAAAACAAACAAGAGTGAAGATGAAATTTTAATTTGTTAAATTTTGATTTCGATTTGTTAAATTGTATCATAAATGAAAGTTTAAGTCTACAATATTAATATTAATTTAGTATTAAATGTTTATATGAGTTGTTTCTTTTTGTTGGTGACAATAAATGGCTATCTATCTAAGTAGTCGGCAGTCGGAAGTCGCATTGCGATAAATGACAAGATCTATCGAAATTAAGGAATTTTTATATCTATATACAGCATTACCTAGTAAAAATATTGAGAAAGAAGTATTTTTCAACAATTTTTATCTTTTTTGTGCTATTGCCAAATATGTTTCTTTTTGTACTGGTAAATTAGTGGAAACAAAATGAACCTTTTCATAAGTCAAAATAGTAAGTATAGAAGCACTGCGTTTGTCTTCGAAAATACTACCTACAATGAGTCACAATGATTTTTCATCTTACCCAACCCAACAACAACGACAACGCATAAATATCCGTAACAGTTTAGGAGTCAAAGTAAATATTTGATTAAAAATACAGTTTCGTTTTGATAACAATTCTAATGCCAATATTAAGCCAGGCATTGGCAGGTACTTAATGCACTTGACACGATATATTTATCATAAACTAAGGGCAAGTGTTTATTAAAGAACAAACAATTTACATCAATATTTAGAATTTTGTGTTAATTTACAGTTTGCCACATTACGTACATATAATTCTCATGTCAAGATGTGTGACAAGATGTATCGTGATTATGTACTGTCATGGTACATAATCGGCTTTCGGGTGCGTCTATAGGTCTCCTGGTTCAAATGTGTCTGCCTTCCTTGACAAGCTGACTTCCTGTATTGTATAATAGGGGATATAAATATTAATATGTTGAATTTCGATGGAAAAGCCACAATAAGATTTAATATACTTTTAGACGAATTGTCCCTTGATAAGGTATTAATTTACCCACTAGAATCACACCACCTCGGTTTCTCTGAGTGATAGTTTAAATACGAACAATACAGAAAGCTGTATAAACCAGATAAACAGGCCTCTAGATAGATCAGATCATAACCTAATCCAATGTGATATAGTTTTTTCAAGCTTGAAGTCCACTTCGATGGTCAGATTGTGCAGGAATGTATCTGGCGTAGATGACACCGACTTAAGGCATGATCTCGCTTGTTTACCTCTTCATAACATCTATCATATGAATGATATTAATCAAAAAGTAAACTTCTTAAACTCTCATCTGTCGATACTGTTGAATCAATATGCACCGTTACGTCCTCTTAGGATTGCTAAGCCTTTTACTCCATAGATAACGCTCAATATTAGCATAATGATGAAACTCAGGAAACAGGTTCTGGGTAAATTTAGAATAACGAAACTAGCCCCTCGTTTCGATTACTACAAATGTTTGAGAAATTTAGTTACATCGGCAATACGTTGTGAAAAAAAAAAGCTTATTTCAATAGTACATTTAAAAATATGGACGAGCAGAGTAGTTGGAGGCTTTTACATAATAATAATACTAATTTATTGAGTGTAACATAAAGTTTACAATACGTCAAAAAGAAACAAAAAAAATTTAATGCTATTCAACAATTCAACAAGGTTTACAAAATTCATTTATGGTATAGAAGGCATTTTGCATAAGATATGTTCTGAGGTATATTTTCATTTTCTTCAGCGGCAACTGTCTAACTAACTGCGGCAGGTGATTGTATGTCGTTGTAGGCGATTGAATGTCGTGCCCCAGTAGTCAGCGTTCTTTTGTGTCTTCGCTAAGCGGTGACGTGGAATACGTAGATCGTCTTTTTGTCTGGTTGGATAGTCGTGTTGATCGGAATTTTTTGTTAATTTGGACAGTTTTTTTCTGGTGGCTGTTATACAACTGAAGGTAAATACAGAGTAAAATATTCCTTGCAACTTTCTATACTTTTTAGATTGAAAAGTGCACGCACTGCTCGCTTCTGCAGTAGGAAAATTCGTTCTGCAGCCGAAGACATTCCCCAGAAAAGGATACCGTATGTTGCTCGGCTGTGAAAGCTAGCATAATATGTAACTTTAGTAGCTTCAAAGGTTTTCTCCTTATGCAGTAAATTGCCCCGTTTAATTTTTTTGTAGTGTTCTCTACGTGAATATTGAGTTCCTCATCTATATATAACCCCAAAAATTTTATTGATTTACATTCTGCCTTCTCATGTCCTCTATTAAACATGATTTATTGCGGTTTCTCCTCGTTTAATGTTAGGTTATTGTCTTGCAGCCATTGTTTAGCATTGTGCATCGATTCGCAAGTGTTATTTCGAAGATCTTCTGGCGATTCTCCAGTTGAAA